CACTACAAAGCTATTTTTAGAACGTTTATTTTAGGATCGTCTCCTATCTTCAGGGTACCAGAAGGTTTGAGAAATAAGCAGAATCATGTATAATAGCATTTCACAGACATAAGAAACAATTTAGTATTTGTTCGTTAAACAGCTCTCTGACAAGCTAGTCAACATCCCCTCTTGATGTATTCAAGCATTTGATTATGTTCCCTTTTTTAATGTTTGTGACTAATACAAGGAGAAAATACACCTAAGCAAGGTAAAAATCAATCCAAAGCTTCTCAGAAATTTTAAGATGAAATCCCATAGTCCATTCAATATGGAAGATCAGATTATGCAAAACCAGAGCGATCACTTTAGCATTAAAATCCACACAAAATATTTTTAGATTAAAAGAGATAAAAAAGCAAGATAAAATATTTGGTTGTCTTGAACACTCAAAAAAGACTGAATCAAATACTGTACACCTTACTTAGGATATTATGACTTCTACCTTTGAAACCCACAACAATTCACCTGACAGATCCACTACAGCTTCATGACTAGAGACAGCTCCCTTTTCAATGAAGAGCTCTCGGAAGTACTCGCTGTTGGCTGCCAAGACAGATTTGTGAGCTTTGTACTCCTCTCCTTCAATCAGCAGAGTCACATCACAGAACTGATTGGAAAGCCTCTGCTGATTCAGTTGGTTTAAGACTGACAGACAATGTTTGGAAGATGACTGCTTCACAAGGCCCTTACTGTCAACCTGTCATAAACAACATTATGAGAACTTCATTACATTTAGACTGTGCCTTTTTAAGCATTCACACTGAAACACAGAAAAGGATTATTTTCTGCAACCATACAATCAGTTCAAGCCTGTATAAGATACAGCTTAACTTTACTATTGTTTTCTTTCTTTAAATGCGTCAAGTTTCACCCTCCCTCCAAACATAGTTAAAACAGACAACTGGAAAAATGGGAAGACACAGATATTTGAACAGTTCTTTGACCATATTTTTCAATACTACAGTCTGAAATCGTTTCTAGATTCAAAAGCCTTCACATGCATATGAGCCCCCAGTTACCAGCAAGAATTTTATATCTAAATATAGCATCATTTATTAAGGAACAGATATAGATTCTATGAGAACCTTGTATGTGATGCTTTACTACTTATACTTTTACCATTCATTTTCCCTTCAGTCTTATATGCATAAATAGGAGTCACGGTGACTTGATTTTCCAAAGATGACATACTATAATTAATTTCATGTCATATACACCAGCAACCCATTTCCACATATTGAATATCTCTGGCAAAATTTATGTCATCTTATTATTACAAGAGTACCACAACAATGGAAAATAAGTACGTGACTAAGAATGCATTAACAAACACCTTAAATACATTCAGATGTAAACAATGGTACTTACAAATACAAGCTCATGCTTCGCTATTGGCTTCTTCTTCACAGGCTTTGGGGATGCAGCTGGGATTGATGCCGTATTACTCAATTCATCATCTGTTTCATTACTGTCTTCATGAGATTTTGCATCCAGTCCTAGTTCCTCCAGCATTTCAGAAGGGTCTGACAGAGATCTAGAGCGATCTAGCTTTTGCTGGCACTTGGTGCATTCTTTAATGTAATCTTTAACCTGCTTAAGAATACCTAAGAAAAATTAATGGAGCTTAATTAGGCTCCTAATCTTCATTCAATTTACCTTAAACACATAATTAAATATGTAGGCAATTAGCAAAACAATATTACACACATACTGACAAAAATGAAGTCAGTCACCTACACTTCCCTTCTCTGACTTCCTTTTACCCGTTCTGCTTCTCTCACACCATCGTATGATATTGTATGTCACTACTGTAATGCACAGTTAATTTGAGATACAACATTTAGAATATCACTATATCAAGCAGACCCTCCTAGAAAGATTTTTAAGGCTAGAAAAAATATTGGTATTTATACATTCACCCTAAGAATCCCAAGACAATGAAAATGTAACCTAATCCTACATTTAGCCCACACAAGTGGATCTCAGCTTTTCCTTACTGAACAGGACAAGAATTGGAAGGCTCACCTAAGGGCTTTTGCAAAATTGGGACCAGCTGTGTTAGATGCAATGATCCTGATATGTTTTATTAGTAACAATTTAAATCAATTGCTTAAGATTTGGGGGTTTTAAGAAATTGATTTCCTACCAGCACTTTAACCAGTGTAACTGAATAATTTTAGATACTCAATAGTTCCCAAGCTCAGGGTCCTCTTCTAGGTACCAAGGCATTTTCAGTGTATGGCTTTCAACCCACATTAATTTTCTTCACTAGGACAATATAAAAGCATACGTAACAACAGCCGTGTCTCTCTAGTTCAAAATCTAGCACAGCTCAAAACTTGGCTGACATAGGCTTGCGCTTCTCACGCCTTTTCAGAGCATGAGATGCACCATCATTACATGCATATCTCTGGAAGGATCAGGAAAACACAGACTTCAGGCAACCCAAGACATTCCAACCCAAGACATTCATGCCTATTCCAAACGTTTTTACATTTCCTTGATTTCACCTAAAACCAGGGCTAGTTCTCAGAACAGAAGGTCTCTTATCTTCAAACCACATACCTAACACCCTTCCTGGCCACTGGGCCATACTCCAGCCCATTGCTTCCCAGCTACAGAACAGACAGACACAACAGACTGGCACCCATCTCAGGATGGTGACTGGGTTAAAGCTGCTGTCCACTAGCAGCAGAAGAGTATTCTAATGGCAGGGGAAACCAATGCTTCGAAGGAGACAAAGATAAGAAACATAACGCGTGAACTGAAAGCAGGGCACGAATTTTAGTATTCTCAGTGCAAGAGAAATAAGAGAACATAGGTTGTGCAAATAAAGGTAACCAATAAGGTCAAAAGATGCAGAATACAGAATGCCTCTTTTGACAAACAGAAGAAATACTGAGGTCCACGAAGGAAGTTTCCAGCATAGGATGACAGTAGATGCTAGAACAGTCGAATATTGGGCAGACGATGAGAACCCAGATAAAGGCAAGGAGACCACCATCCAGAATAGGTATAGCAACTTTGAGACACCAAATCATTTTTCACATCTAAGATCTTCAAGTCAATGAGATCTGGACTGGAAGGGTGGGCTGCAGCTAGAGCAAAAAGCCTCCAAATTAAGATAGGGAAAACTAAAGCTGAAATGACAGCCTTGCTGACTGATGGATGAAAAAAGCAGAAGAGAAGCAGTACAAACAGAAACTGGGCCCTGGGCAGCAGAAAAGCAGGATATTTGTTTAACTGCTACATCAGCCTAAAAGCAGAATACCAAATCCAAAGGGAATGCAGATACCAAGTCATTGGCTCAGCCAAATTAAGGCCCTGACTGGGAATTATTGATGTTCATACACTACTGTTTCTAACAGCTATGACATTACTCAGGACCCAACTGAGAATTAGTTTGGCCTTTTCAGCTTCTCATTGGAAGAAAGAGACAAACGTAACAACGAGTGCAAGGACTACGAATCTTCACTGGCAGCTCTACTACTTAAACGTGAACACCATCCACATGCTAGCTGGAAGCAGTGTTCTGAGGTTAAAAGCTGAACTAGGTCACACGGAATGGATTATCGCCCTATACAGAGCGTCCAAGTTGAGAAATCGCTACCTTAAGCGGGCTGTATGCAACACTTGAATGGGGACAGTCACGCTCTGGGTTTCCATACGTTCGAAGCACCACTACTGAATGCGAAGCCACAGGACAATTTGCTGACCACGGTGTAACTCGCACAGCGAAGCCTGCCTCTCGAGGAGCGACCCACAGTCGCAGCCCACAGGCTCTGCGCTTTGAGACGGAGCGTCGAAAGGCACCCGTCAGTCAGTACGCGACAGTCCCCTCCTGCCTTCTCCAGGGAGCCATCCTCCTCACAGACCCGAGCCGCCCGCCCTGCGCCGCAGGGGCCGTAACCCGGCCTCCGCCAGCTGCCTCCCCCCGCTCTCCCCTCCCGGCGGGGCTTCTCCCTCTCACCGGCCGCCCCCCCCGGCCCTCCTCGGCTCACCTCGCCACCAGTACTTCTGCGAGAGCCCCTGCCAGGTCTGCAGGCGGGTGCGGTGGGCGCCGTCGGGCGCCAGGTGGGCGGCGCGGATGAGGCGGGCGCGGCGCTCGGCCTGCAGCACCACCTCGAGCTCGGCGAAGCGCTGCTGGTCCCGCTGCCGCCGCTGGTAGTAGAGGGTGCCGCCGCGCACCACGTAGCAGGCGGCCGCTTTGCGGATCTTGCGCTTGGCGTTGCCCTCCGTTCCCGGCGCGTAGGGCTCCCGCTCGTTGGTCAGGTAGCGCAGGATGGCCAGGTAGCTCTCCTCGCTGGACATGGCGCGGCTGGGAGAGAGGGGGAAGAGGAAGACGGCGGGGAAGGGGGGTGCGCACACGAAGGGGCGGCCTCCGCGCCCTCAGAGCCACGCCGGGCTTCCCCCCTCGCCGCCGGGCAAGGGCACGGCGCTGGGCACGCCGCTGTCGGAGGGGGAGGCGGGTCAGGCTTTCGCCCCCGGGGCGGAGGCGGCTGCGGGGCAGCGTCTCCGCGCGGGACGGGGCCCGCCCGGGCCGGTCACACGCGGCGGGCCCGTGGTGGGGAGAGGCGCCCCGGCCCTCGCCGGGGGGCCCGGGGGGGCTACGGAGGCGCCTCCCGGGGCAGGGAGAGCATGCGCTGCCGAGGGAAGGAGGACGGGAGGCTCCCGGGCCTCCGCCGGCCCCTCGCCCAGGCGCGGGGAGGCCGGAGAGCGGCGGCCCGCGGGTCCGGCGGGAGCCAGGCCCGGGGGGGGAACTGGAGTTTCGCAGCCAGCGGCGGCGGGTGGGAGGGAGAAGCTCGGGCAGCAGCAGCGACGGAAAGACAAAATGGCTGCTGCACAAGAGGAAGTGAGGTCAGAAGCCCGCGCGCATGGGAGGGGGCGGGGAAGGGGCGTGCGCTCAGGGAAGGCGCAGCTCGTAGGGGGAACAAGGCCGCCATCTTGGGACCGGGCAATGGACGGGCCGGGCGGAAGGCTGGGGGCGGCCATCTTAGAGCCGGGCGAAGGCTGCGAGGGCGGGCAGGGCCGCGACGCCGGAAGCAGGGAACGCTCCTAAATAAATGCTTTTATAGCCCTAGCTCCCAAACGAGCGGGCTCCACTTCAAACTTGCGTCGGGAGTAGGAGCTACGAGAAAATTAGAATCGCGATTTCACGGTGCAGCGTGAGCGCACCGATCAGGAGCAGCACAGCCGGCGACAGCCGCACCAGCGCGGGCGGGGCGGCACGGCGGCTAGGTCTCGGTGCAGAGCGTGCTCTGTTTTGTTTGTGAAAGGAAAGAAGGAAAGTCTTTTGAACGTCAACTGCTGGTCTTCCTCGTCCGAGTTCTGAGCGGATTTTTACACCCGTAGCAGAGACGCGAGCCGCAGGATGCCGGTGCCCAGGCAGGAGCGTAGCCAGGAGCTTCCCCCGTGCACAGGACTTGCAAGAAGGGCCTCTGGAGTACTCTGATCCCCCCAAATACAAAGGTACTGACTGGACGGAGCGAGTCCGAGTCCGGCAGAAGGCTGCAAAGATGGTCAGGGATCAGAGCACGAGGGACGAGCCGAGGCTGAGAGCCGGGCTTTTTCAGCCTTGAAAAGAGAAGGCTTTGTGAGGACCTTGCTGCTGTCCACAGCTACCTCACCAGAGGAGCCAGAGAAGACGGAGGAAAACTCGTCAGAGTTGCATAGCAAAGAGGCAGCAGGCACAGGTTAGAGCACAAGAAATTCTAGTTGTATATTAAGGATTTTTATTTTTTTTTTTCAAACCATGGTGGTTGTCAAATACTCAAACACATTGTCCTAAGAGATTGTGGAACCTCTGTCTTTGGAGTTGTTCTTGACTCACCTGAGCAACCTGATCTAAATAGACATGCTTTGAGGAAGGGGTTGAACTAGATGACCTGTGGAGGTCTTTTTCAACCTAAATTATTCTGTGGGTCTATGATAATTTTAAGTATTCAATTTTTCATGATAAATATTTAATAGAGGATCAATTACATTGCATTAGGTAAACACAAGGACTTTAATTTATTAATTTCTGTTAATTTATTGCATTGTATCTCTGTTTGAGCTGAATAATGTGCAGTTATACCAGGTTAACACTCTGCTCTGAACAGCCTGCCTCACTCAGTTGAAGCATAGCTTGAGAGGAGTAACCTGATGGGCTATTATTCTTTACTCCCACCACATCAGTCAGAACTCATGAATAAACAGCAAGGAAGAGTAGTCTTAAAGCATTTCTGTGCACCTCTGCAGTAACACCAGGCAGCCAAAGCCTGCAAACTTCAAAGCATTAACAAATGCTGACTTACTAATTAGTCATATCTGACAAACAATTCCTAGATACCATTAATGCTATTTCAAGCAGATTGTTTGTGAAAGCTCATCTTCACATTCAGTTTTTTAGCTGAAAACTTTCACAAGCACGCAGGCAGTCTACCACGTGCTTTTATACACAACACTGATATAATCAGGATTTTACATAGTTGTCACTAGCATAGCTAACTTTCAGTGGTGTTTTCAGCCTTCAGTTTTAAACGATTAAGAATTCCTTTCCCTAAAACAGCAAGCAGTTTTCCTTCCCCTCTTTTCTGGTCCAGTTTCTGGCTCCTTCACTTTCAAGTGTGTTAACCAGTTTAAAAGCTTTCCATTTATTTCTAAACATGAGTAGCTCCTATACCTTTTTTAACAGCAAACAGCATAATTGTTTGGAAGATAATGGTGCAAATTCTGCTAATGCAATCAAGCTAGACCTATTTTAAATGGGTTGTAACCTTCATCCAGACCTGTATATTTTATTAATAAACCCAAAACAAAGTATGATACAACTCAAAATATAACCCATAACCCAAATTGCCCATTACACTCACTGTGGTTTTGAGGCCCAAAAGAACTGCAGGAAGCAAAACTACGAAAAGACAGCTTGCTTCCTAGTGTAGTAAGATAACAAAGCAAGCCCTCAAAGCTAACAGGCATTAACTTGTGGCATCAATAAATTGAGAAGTAGCTGATCCAGAAAATAGAGAAGGTTTGTCTTCTCCTATGCTTCCAGTACGTCAGAGGACATTGCTTTGCAAAGTCCATCAAAACTACAGCAACGTTTGGGCACCCTGTCTACATAGTGTAATTACTAAAGTAGACAGATACATACTTCACATGAAGAATTTAACAAATGGCCACTACCTCTCAGGGTGGGAGGGTGAGGAATTACTAAGGGAACCTCTACCTGCATTCTGGAAGTTAAATATCCATCTAAATGGGCTTGAAGTAAGCGTATACCATCAGCTGCATTTGAAGCTCATTCAACATTCACAGCCATCCTTTTCCTGACAGCAGCTTCCAGCAATCCATCGTTTTGTTACTTCCTGACCCAGGAGCTGCATGTGAACCTTTGCGCTTAACAGCCACGTGGTCCATGAAACCATCCATTCCCTTTTTTCAATCTATTGCTCCTTTGATCGTCTACAACATCTTGCTACACGCGTTCCACAACACAAGCAGCACATTAGCTTAAGTCACAGATGGTACTGCTTCACACCCTCTTTAGTTTGTATCTCTGAGCTTAGAAACCTCTTTTTATGCCATTTGTCATAGGTGCAGAATAAACTTGTACTTATGTGCTGTTTTGTCCTTCAGGCAAGAACAGCTCCTCAAACATCAGCTCCATCTTACCTGCCACCTGAGTCATTCATTAAAGTCTTATGAAAAGTATGCTAATACAGCAGATTGTCTTAGAAGCCAAGTGTTTTATGGCAAGATGTTTTTCAGTCTGCAAAACCAGACATGGTTATTTCACAAATTAATTCTCTTCAGTATATCTCACACAGTTGAAGAGAACATGGCACAAGTTATGAAAGTTAGTCCGATGTTTATTCAGCACGACTAACAGTTTAGCAAGTTAGCGCTTTCCACCAACACGGGGAGCAGAAACCTTGACTGGTTTCACAATCTTCTGCTTAGGTGCTGCCTTTGTAGGAGCCTGTAGAGAAATAACAAAGTATGAGCAAAGAGAAGCAATTTATCTGCAGTCCTGAAGGCATCCGTGTGTATTTAAGATTCTTGAAATTAGGCAACTTAGATCAGATCAGATTAGAATTGCAATGTATCAGATTAGAATTGTGTTAACAGGTGGTTACACACATACCACTGTAAGCCTACAACACGTATGATGCCAACATACGGTATTAATTCATAAGTAATAAGAAACAGATGCTAGCATTCATCAATATATTGTTACCAAGTTCCTAGATAGTGAAGATGTCACATCCAGGCAAGTTATTAGCTATCAAGAATCTCTGACATATGGTCAGAAAGTTGTTCTACTCTTATATTTATTTCTTCTGTTAAAAAGGTTCATTTTATTCAGCTGTTTGGGTATGTTTAACTTTAGCACTAAAGTTTGGTCAAGGTGCTTCCAGATCAAAAAAGATAAGCAAATGCTTCTTCCAAGCACAAATGGGGATTTCCAGTTAAGCACTGCAACAGAATGTTGTGTTACAATTTCATGATTTCTATCCACCTACTGCATCTTACCTTTGCAGCAGAAACAGCTGTTTTCTTGGTTGCTTGCTTAGCCTTCTTGGCTTCTTTTGCAGCCCTGTTAATTCACAGAAAAACAGTAACTGTTATCCATGTCTGCCATTCACTGTTTCTTTGTCTCAGCACTGTAAGAACTCCCTAAGATGAGGAAAGGAATGAATTATTTCAGGTTTATTCTCTGCATTCAGTACTTTCTAGGGAGACTACTACAGAGACAGCAGAACTGTGTGTGACAAAAGGGGTATTTTCACAAAGGGAGAGGGCAAGAAGAAATCCTCCTCTGCTGCTACTATCTCTTGCTGAGATTACTCAGTATTACCTCCAGTATACTGATTTAAAAAAAAAAACAACACAAAAAAGCTTATAAAACATGGAGGTCATCTAGAGTTTAAGCTCTTGTATGAAAAGCATTAATAATCTTTGAAAAGCCTGGGATAGCTCCACTTATCTCTGATTTCTCACCTAATAGCTTGTTCCCTCTGTGCCTTTCGTACTTCGGGCTTCTGATTTCGTTTAGCCATAATCTCAGCTAAAGATGCACCGGTGATAGCTCTCTGGAACTTAACAGCACGACGTGTGCGCTTCTTTTGTATCTCTTCCTAAAATGGCAGAAGATGAAGACAATTAGGATTGCAAGACATTAAATAAAAGGCTAAAGACAATTATAGAAACAAGCTGCTATTAAGACTGAAGCTATTATAAAACTGTATACAGAAGTAGAATTATACTCCCCACTTTGGAGATAACTGATTTCTTGATTTGCCAAAGCAGTTGAATAGCTAAATAAGAACAATGTATTCTCGTCTGCAAGGTATATAAAAAAAAATATTTTGGAAGAACGTCAGAAGTTCAGCCTTCTGTAACTCCCAGGAAAAAAAACGGGGGGGGGGAGTGCTAAAGTCCTCTTTGATGGAATCTTCTGAAAGGAAGACACTTGCGACTTGTTTCAAGCGGGATCACGGTGCTGGGCAGCAGTGTAAGCCATCGAGGATCAACTTTCCTTCTTCAAACAAACTGGTAAAAACATTGACTTACAACACATATGTAAGCCTTTCTAAATGCTCTTTTGCTGTGCAAGTTTAAACAAGAGCACTGAAAATACCTCAAGCTACATGCTTTATTAGTTTATCTTTTTCATGCAATGACAACCACATAGGAAAGACCTCCTACTAAGTTACAGCCCAAAGTTTTCAAGAAGGGTACGTGAAAAGTTCCCCCACCCTTTAACCCCCAAATCAGCTCTCTATGCTATCACCATTCAGAAATTTTACAAGTCCAAACTTTTAGGGAGTCTGCATATTAAACAGCATTACCCACCTTCTCTAGAAACTAATTTTTTTAAACATACGCCATTCATACAATTGTTAAAATCTACTGTGCTTCTGAGTGGCCCCTCAAAGAAGTGACACAGTACAAATACAATGCTTTTGCTGAAGTGGTTACCTTTCAAACATAAAGCAGCATATAAACTCATGTAAATGCCCTTACATTTTCACCATTATTGCCCAGTCTTCATCCTGGTTGTACAGGTCATGCTTCTGCTGAACATCAGCATACTGAAATTACCTCTATTCTAACAGATCAGTGACCACACCTTTTGCTAGAGAACTTTAGAGCGCCATTAGTTGGTATATACTTACTGACTGTCCTTTCTTGTGTTTACGCCTATACAGAACAGTCCAGTTGATTTGACGGGGGTTTCTCTTGGAAAGGAATGCAGACTCACATTTTGCATTCAAGAACTGAAAAACCTGGGAAGGTAAAGTATTTTGTGTAAGCTTTGCTTCTTTGAAAGACATTATCACAGTTTACATTAACATATCAAGGAATTCCTCGATTCAGTGTTTTTCAACAGTGATGCTTTTGTATTTCTTTACACAGCTCTGTCAAATAAAAATTTTAGAAGATAATATAAAAAATTTAAAGTTTGGAATTTTGTTCCATTGATCAAACTGATCTCTTATGAGGCATTCCAAAGCAGCTCAATTTTTTTGAGGAAAGCTCACATTACCACTTGCATCCACTGCTGCACTGTACTCTAGGCACAGCAGGAATAGCCATTTCCAGCATCATACTTTTCAAGTGTCTGTCCTCAAGTAGCTATGCATTTCCTGTATGTGTAAGGGAGTCAAAACTTGGCCTAAGGAACACATGGACACCAATACTCCACCCAATTCCTTCTTGCATAGTTACACTAACTTTCTTGCCTAGAATAACAGGCAGAATTACCAGGCTGATTTGTTATTAGCTGTACAATTCAATTTGAAGTATACACTAATTCCCAGGAAAGCACCCGAGAATTCAACCAGTCTATTTACTCAATTGTCATTTCCCAGGAGATTCTGTACAGCAAGATGACTGTACTGGTATGTCCAAAACCCGAATCCTCCTTTTGTAGACATGAATACTGTATTTCTATTTATGACAGTCCTATCTGGGTGAGATATGGGAGCCTGAAAGGGCTCTCCTCCCTATTTTATGCCAATGATCTGCACCCAACTTATTTGCAAGTCCAGCAAGTCTCAGCATTAGATGCAGTATGTCCAAGTAGCATTTTTTACAGAACTGCGGTACTTTAGACCAGATACTTTAAGACAGCCTTCTCAAACCGCAACCTAAACCTGGCTCAAAATCCCAAGCTACGGCACGAGCACGGTTCTCCCGCGGACAGGGTCTGACGGCACTCACGACACCTGGACACGCCGACGGAGGCACAGCGGTGCTGTTCTCCTGCCGCTCCATACCAGCGATTCGGGCAGACGCTACAGCAACGCCACCGGCGGCCCCGGGCAGCGCCTCAAGTGCGAGGCCTTCGCTTCCCCCAGCACCCCGCCGGCCTCTCTCTCTCTCTCTCAGGCCTACCGTCCTCCCCCTTCTGCAGGGCCCGCTCCTGCTAGCCCCTGCTGCCCGGCACCGCGGCCGCCCCCTCCCCGCGGGGCTCGCCCTGGCCTCCCCGCCCGCCCCCGGCCTCACCTTGCCGTCGGTGCGGGCGTAGCGGCGCCCGTGGCCCGGGTAGATCTTGTACCCGCTGAAGCTGCACAGCTCGACCCTGCGCGGGAGAGAAGAGTTAGGGGACAGAGCGGGTTAGCGGAGGGGGAAGGCGCGGCCCTCCGGCGGCCTCCCCGCGGCGGATGGCCCCGGATGGGGCGGCGGGGAGCCGCCAAGGTTCTTACTTCATGATGGCGGCAGCTCCGAAGCTGGCGGCGGCCGGGCCGAAGAGGAAGAGAGGATGACGGGAAACGGCGTTCCGTGCGCCGCGCGCAGCACGCCGGGACGGCTCCCGCCGCGCAGGGCCTGACGGGAGGGGAGCGGGGAGGCAGCGCCGCCCCGGCTGGAAGGGCGGGCGGGGGACCCAGCGGCAGCGCTCTCGCCGGCCGGGTTTTCCACTGTTCGCTTAAAATCCCGCCGGGCGGCTCCGTACGCGGGCCCTTCTCTCCCGCCGCGAAGAAAAGACACGATTTTCCCGTGGCGGAGCGAGGCAGCCGATCGGCGTCCAGCGCTCGGTTGCCCGGCGGCGTCGGCAAAGCGGGAAGCATGGCGGCGACGGGGGTTGCGGCGAGGACCGAGGCTGTCTCGCCGGCTGGAGGGGGTAAGGGGAACGTGAGAGGCAGCGAGCCCGGCGGGGGCTGTGCGGCCGGGTTGCAGGTGTCGGGGGCCGGCGGGGGTTTGTTTGGGTCTCCGTTGTGTGGGGCGGAGAGGCGGGGGCGCGCAGCGCACGGCGGGAGCTGTAGTGCGGGGCGGGCCGTGCCCTGGCCGCCGGCCCGGGGGTTCGGACTACAAGTCCCGAAAGGCTCCGCGGCCTTTGATGCGGGGGGGGCGGCTCGGCTGAGGGGGGACGGGGGCGCGCCCCCTCTTTTCGGGGGTGAGGGGGCGGCTTGGCTGCTCCTTTCTGGGCTCCCCGCGCTCCTCCCCGCTTGCGGCCGGCAGCCGAGGTCCCCGAGCGGGGCTGGGAGCGGTCAGGGCGGCGGAGGGCGAGGAGACCGGGGTCGGCGCGGCTTCCCGCGCTCGGGCAGCCCGCCCTGAGGAGCGGGGGTCCCCGCCCGGCAGCGGGTTTGGCTCCGGCTGTGGCCGGGGTTTTGGGGGGGGGGGAGCGCGGAGAGGGGCTGTCCATCCTGCCCAGGCCAGGGCCCCTGAGGAGCGATTTGCCTGCAGCCCTGTAGAAGGTGGGCCAGGAGTTGAAATAAGGCCCCTTTTTTCCTGTAGTGGAGGGCAGAGAGGTCTTGGGAGACAGGTCCTCCTCTGAGGATGCAGTTTCTTGCTTCCTGCCTCCGTCTGGAAGGACGGTGCTTTATAACGATACAAGTCTGGCTCTGAAGGCTCAAGGGCTCAAGAGGCCTGAGCAGCAATCGTGAGCTTCTGAGGTCTATTAACGTACATAGCTGCCAAACGAGTAATAAGCAATTCTGAAACGTTTTCCTGGGTACTCAGAGCCTGTTAGGACAATCTCATTCCCAAAGGATACTATAAGGACTCATTGGTATAATGAAATCATTTTCACTTCCTCAAGATAGATAGTTCTCTTTGTATACTGAACAGTCCTGCTTCAGCAAGCAAACTAAAGGACCCCAGCTGCTCGCAAGGAGAAGGACAGACACCCTTGAAATAGGGATCTTACTTAGAGCTACCCACAAGGGATAAAGGATACCCCCAGACAACCGAGATAGCACCAGCATCCTAGCTCCTTTAACACCTCTGCGAAACCTTCCCACTGTCTGGCATCACAGATAAGTAACTATAGCACAACTGACTCCAGAGATGTCTAGATAAGTAGAGAAGCAGGTGGATGATGATGCCATAGAAATGTAGTTTCTTTGCACCTGGTAGTGTGTGTGTGTTAAGCAGTGAGTAGTCAAATAATGTTGTACCTGAATGCTTGAAAGGCATAAGAACCATGTGTAAAACCACATTCTGGGTGCCCCAGTTTGAATGGGACACTTCATGTGCATGAATAAAAGGATTACTCTTGTAATTCTATGCTGTGGGTCCTATCCTCTCTCCTTGGTTGGCATGGGCCAGCTGTGAATTTTCATAACAATCCCTTGGATAAACGGGCACATGCAAAATTTCTCTGTTTAGTTAAAGTGACCAAGTGGTTGCAGAGGTGGCCACTTAAGTGAGAAACATGCAGTACCTACTCCCTGAATGTGCAAAGACAGGAGTGTGACTGTTTCTGGTACTGCTGGATCTGCATTGCTGCTCTTCAGCGCGCTTCAGGTGGCTGTGGATTTGAGAAGCAATGGAAATGTAATAAATGTCATCAGAGATGCTTCTTAGAAAAGTATATTCTCTGGTTGACAAAATGGTACACCAAAAATGTTTGTCTCCATCCTTAGAATAACTAAGCCCCCAAAGCCTGCAAATTGTAAGAATATTAATATATAGTACATGTTAGGATAAGAACACTATTCTGGAACATGCTGCTGAAAAAGGCAGCATTATTTACTGAGTAGATAGTAAGAGAAGAGCAAGCACTAGAATGGTGTATGTATGTAAAACATACAGCAGAGGCTTAATGTATGAAAATTATTATTAGTAGATGTCACTGTGGGTACCCAGTGATTCAAGTTGCATGTAGATGGCAAATGTTTTGTGGGACATCTAGCCTATTAATACAATTTGGGGACACAAGCACCAAAATCCCAAGGCGAGATGCACTCAGGGATTTGGCTCGTGAAGTCCTGGAGTGGAATTTTTGGCTCTGAATTAGACACATTCCCTACCCAATAAGTTAGAGATAGTGAAATACTTAAGATTAGGGTTTGTAGCAGCCAAACTGCTAGAAGGGAGCAAGTCTCAAAGTATCTGATAGGAAGTTTTAAAGGGAGGGCTGAATCTTAAGTTTGTTTCTTTTCTGAAGTTTAAGCATCCAACTTCTGACAACAGAGGTGTCAGGTTTGGTTTCACAGGCTGAAACCTCTGCTTTGAGTTTGCATCTAGAGTGCACTTTCCAAAAAAAAAAAAAAAGGTGTAGGCTACTAATATTTTACCTTTGAAATACGGAGAGGGAAAAAGGAAAGAGAAAACTGCAGGCTTTTATTCAATGGTCTAGCTTTCTGAGGACTTGTTCATGGTAAGGCTGTTTATTTTCCTCTGGCTGAAGACTATCACATGGGTATTTAACATTTACAAGTTAAATGCCCTAATCTTCAAATACTTTAGCAGGTTGGTTGATGGAACCTTACAGGAAGGTGCAGTTTGTAGTTTGCATCCTTATCAGGTTTCTGCTTGATGAAAGGATGGATGCTGCTTCCCCTTTTTCCAGAATTCTCCCCCTTTTTTTTTTTTTTTTTTTTCAGTGACAGGCATGGTTGATGTTTGGGGAGTATCATCCTACAGATGTGTGCTAGGCACGATCTGGGTTTGCCTCCAAGCAGGAATTTAGCTAGAGTGCCTACAGAGAGATAGGTAGTTGTCAAGCTGCTCAAAACTTGAACTCTTTGAAGAATTTAAAAATTTAGGAGCTTTTGAAGTTTGGGGGTTTGAGGATCACACCTTTAAATTTAGCTACCGAAATTTTGCTCTGTTTCCCACTCCAGAGGATCTGTTACTGACTTTCCCAGAATTCCACCGGAGTTCTTTACTCGGATAGGGCCTAGAATCCATATCTTCCAGTAACTGGATCAGTTACTCTGATGTGTTTGGTCTGAAGTAATTTGCTTCAGTTTTACATGGAAAACAAAGTTAATTTGTATTTGCCAATTAGCTGCATGCATTGTAAAACAAATCTGTGTAACCTGATTTGCTTTTTCAGTTCATATTCTCATATCTAAAGTGTTGACTTTGGGGCTTCCCCCCCCACCTTTTTTTTTTTCTTCTAAGGTTTGGTAGTCAACTGGTCAGGCCAAGGATTGCAAAAACTGGGTCCGACCTTACCCTGTGACGCTGATACTCACACTTTGATTCTGGACAAAAACCAGATAATTAAATTGGAACACTTGGAGAAATGCAGGAATCTGATGCAGGTCAGTGTTACTTGACTTGAATTTGCTATGAAATAATGGTACTGTGATGCTAATTAAAATACTTCTGCTTTAAGGCCATATTATATAATTGAAGTGAGTTAGCAGTTATTGTCTTCATAGGAAAATAAACGACAGCTAACTAAAATAGAAAGCTTTGTTTTTAGTGTAGCTCTACAGTTGATAGTGGGGGAGGCTATTTTGCTAGTTACCTAGGTAATTAAAAATGAACTAAATAAATCCTAATGGGGGTGGTGTCATAAGAACACTTAGAAAAATCACTGATAACCCAACTTTGGTAATTCTTAGCTTTTGAATACTTAAGCTTTGTAACCTTAAAAATAACTTTATCTTTCCTCTATGTAATTGTAAACATGCAGACATACATACAGGACTCTCCTCTCCATTTGGGTTTCAGAACTCTTCACAAAGATAGAGGATTAGTAGCCTTAATTCACAAGAAGAAAAAAAGCCATGTGGATTAGGTTAAAATAGAAATAGCAAATAAAAAAAAATGTGAAGGGAGGGGATCTGTGTAGTCTTGTTAACATATTGATTCATGTAGGCCATGATGTTGCTAGTGCTCATCCTTAATTATAATACTAGCAGCAGTCCATTTAAGTTCATGAGGTTATTAGTGATAACAATATTAAGCCTGTGCATGGTGCTTGCAAAAAATCAGAGTATTAATCCCTCTGAGGCAAAGCTATATAAGTCCATGTTAATTGTCACTAAAAGTGCATCCAGACAGACTTGAAGTCACCTAACAGCTTCTAGAGACAAGCTAAACTGAGATAGGAGAGGTGGAGTTTGTTGCTACAACAAACCTTCACCAGTCTGCCAGCTTGGTGGTCATGTTATTACTGTGTATGTTTAATCAGGATTTATCCTTTTAAAAGTTTGTGATTTATAGTCCTGTTAGCACAGGACTTTTCTGAGAATCATGTAAAATATATTTTGTCCTCTGCCATATTGACTGTAAGTATGATTTTACACCAGGAGTGGTGCAACAATTTGCACAATTATTTGGCAATTCTGATTTTAAAAACTTAGTTTCATATGACACAATTCCTCATTTGTTCTCCTTTATTTATCTTTTGCTAGGAGAATTTCCTCTTAAGTTTGCAGAGTGAGTTGTGAAGACTACTTTCTTTGATCAGTAATTTTTTTCCTGGCTCTTGCAGTTTTTTGTCTGTGGTGTGTGCATGAAAATGGAACACGTAGATTGAAGAAGTTCCTGTTGGATTAGGGTTTTAACCGCTAAGAATAAAAGCCTATTCTGTCTGCACGGTTTAATAGTTAAAACTGTTTCTTTTATTTGTGTGTCAATCTGCAGCTCTCTGTAGCCAACAATCGTTTGGTGCGAATGATGGGTGTAGCAAAACTGACTAAGCTTCGGGTGCTAAACTTGCCTCATAATAGTATTGGGTATGTGGAAGGGCTGAAGGATTTGGTGCATCTGGAATGGCTGAATTTGGCAGGAAATAACCTTAAGGTAAAGCATTTAGTCTTTATACATTTTCCAGAATCTAGTGTTGTAGAAATATGGAAAATGCTGCAAAGAAATTGGAATATGTTTCTGGTTTTGTTTGAAACAAATGTTAAAGTTTTGCAGCTACTGGTTTATGAAACAGAAGAGGGCAACTTTTGGAAAAGAGTTGTCTAGGAAAAAATAAAAAGTTTAATATCAAAATGTAATGAGAGTTGGGAAATAGTCCTCAAAATAGGAAAAGAATTATCACCTTTAAAATGAAACTGTGTAGAAACATGGGTTTTGCTTTGGATTACTTATCCAGTGGTTTTTAGCTTTCGAAGTAATTTATAATTATTGATACCTGGTTTTATTTAATGACTAAAAAAGAGTGACTGTGAGTAATTGACTTCTTTATTTTTGTAGGCCATTGAACAAATCAATTACTGTGTATCTCTTCAGCATCTTGATTTGTCAGACAATAACATAGCTCAATTAGGTGATCTCTCCAAGCTTACATCGCTGAAGGTAGATGCTATTTTATCTCTGGTTTTGTTACATTCTTTGCATAAATAAATTTGCTTTGAAAATTCCTGCCTGTTAAAGCATTCACTAGCTCTTAAAGCATTTTAGTTAATCACCATAATTTCTAGAGGGAAGCATGTAAGAACTCTTTTCCTCGTTTTGAAGTTGCAGGAACTGGGGCAGTGATTTTTCTATAACCACTCTAATGATTTTGGTAAAGATAACATGGTGAGATCTTGTTCCTAGCTCTCGTTCTTTTGTCATGAATCAAAACAAAACATAGTGTTAACTCTTTCAGCATGAACACTGTAGAGAAAAAAATGTTTCCAAATATATTTTTTGTAACTGTGACTATACTTCAGTTCTGCATTTTAAGATGAGAAGATTTTGCTCTGAAGTATAAAAATTAGTTTTCCCTTAGTGGAATAAACAAAAATAATTTTGATGATACCAGAAAGCCTTAATTATGGTTCCTTTGTGTGTATTGTGCAGGTATTGCCTGAACAAAAACATGGGAATTTTGATCAAACTTACATTTCATCACTGTATTTTTATTTTATAGACTCTGTTGCTGCATGGAAATATTATAACTTCACTTCGCACTGCCCCTGTTTGCCTACCTCAGAATCTGACTGTTTTTTCTTTGGCAGAAAATGAAATCAGAGACTTAAATGAGGTAAGATATAGAAGATATATCACCTTGTCTTTAGGTAGACTGCAAGCAGATAGTTAGATAATTCTTTTGAGGGTGTAACTGAAAATGGGCTCTCTTTGAAACAACCAATGTTGACAGAAGTAACTTTTAACTATTAGAAGTTATGTAATAACTGTACTTGCATTAGCTGCACAAGCTAGGTGATACCTTTTAAAATTTATCCTTGAAAGAAACTTTGCCTTTTTTATTTTATGTTTTTATATTATTCAAGGACGTCAGAAGTATACTTTAAGGACTAAATTCACAGAGAGCTTTTCATGATTGTCTGAAGGTTGAAAGCTGAGCTGATTAACTGCTGCAGAGGGCTTCTGCAGCTGCTGTGTTTAGAACAGAGGTTTGAATTGCGCTTGTTGCAACTGAACATTTTTGGGCCAATGTCTTATTTTATCTATTTCTCAAACACACTATGTAAGAGAAACAGATATTCTGCCTTTGATTTTTGTCTTTATTGTTTTGTTTGGGTTTTTTACATATATATATATATGTTTACTTATATTTATCATATGTATAATGTAATATAAGTAGCAGCCAAAACTGTCAGCTGGACTTTCATGTTGGAAGAAAAATCTTGTTTTGGTAATACATTTCTCTTCAAAACAAGATAATGTTTCTCCAGCTTTTTGGCTTGCCTTTTTTTTTTGGTCAAAATTTCAATGCCTGTTGTAGTGAACTGGAATTGTAGAAATACTATACCTTTCTAAACATGAAGCCCCATTCCCAGATTTTAAGAGAAGCTAATACTTTCCAAGGGCTATAGTACTTACAGGAGAATTAATGGGAAAATGGCAGTAGTTGGTAGAAAGTCCTTTGAAGATATTCATGGTCAAAAAGCAAATGTGATTTTAAACTTATGTGTAACTATATTGTTTCGTGTGAGATGTCTAGCTGTAACTAGGAGAAATGTAGTATGTTCTGTAAGCATTTGATGGGTTCTGTTCAGTTAACAAATATATCTTGTTTTCTCAAGGTTTCTTTCCTGGCCTCTCTTCGTCAATTGGAACAGTTGTCAATTATGAACAATCCTTGTGTGATGGCCACACCTTCTATCCCTGGCTTTGACTACAGGCCGTATATTGTCAGCTGGTGTCTGAACCTTAAAGTTCTTGATGGATATGTGATTTCTCAGAAGGAAAGGTGACATAATAGTATAAAATCTCTAAAATTATTAAATAAAGTTTGGCTAAGCTGAAATTGCATTTTTATGTAATAAAAAAATGGAAAAGTGCTAATGATCTGAAATTCTGTTCATCTTGGTAACGGCCACATGAGATACAGGCGACTTAACATTGTTGCTTTTGCTAAATTTTTCATCTTTTACACTGGAATTGTTATGCAAGATCAAAAGTAGAAGTATACAGTTAAGCTTTTGTTTCGTTACTCAACTCACAGTAGCACTTTTACAAAGCAAAACTGTGGTAGCAATTTATCAATGGTCTGCTACCCCTTCCAAGCTTTACAGCCTCTTTGACTTTGCAGAATGGGACAATCAGCAGATATTAAAGCTATTATCTTGGGGGAAGCTCAAGCATGGCCTTTTATAAAGGGCCTGATTTGCGCGTGCATTTCTAGATTTGGCATTTTTTGTATCAATTAGTCAAATGTTACTTTGCTCAAATCACTTGTTACTGTATCATTGTGGTCCTTATATCACTATGATATCTGTAGGACAATGGAGACATCTTCTTAAAGTTCTTGACATCAGAACACTCCAAGCATAAGTATTATCCAGTATAAACACATTCTAGTCCAATACATTAACATATGCCAGGACATTAGTGTCTTTTTTTCCCCATTACTAAAATAAAAAGCTGCCTTTTTGGTCAAAGGTAAACCAATTCTGTTTCTGTTTCACCATAACATATAATGACTTTCCCCAAAAGTTGCCTGTAAGAAAGCTAGAAATTTTTTTCATGAGTAATGGGGTTTTTTGTATTAACTGTATTATTATATATAGATATATTATATTAAGTGTTCTCAGACTGAAGAGCATTTGATTGAAAAAAAGATTTCAGTTGTTGAATACTTTCAGCAAGATTTGCTCTCTGTGCCTATTCTGCATGTTTGCGTGAACTTCTCTGTTTCTGTGAAAGCTTTGCTGATAAATTCATTGACACAGACGTGTTTTCAGTGCCCAAAGACTACGCACGGATAAAGCAGAGAGTGCACAGTTTTGGTCAGAGGTTTTTTTTGTTTCATCGATGCTTATATGAGGGAATGCTTTATTCGTTATTCTGGTAATGAAATTCCCAGTTCCTCTGGGCACTGTGCATGTTCCAAGTTTTGATTAGATTTGTAGATTAGCTCTTAGGTACCCAATAGAAGAACAGTAATCAAAGGAGAGCTAGGGGGTTTATGCCATGCGTTAATTGTGACCTTTTTTGCCCTTCTTAACAGTTTGAAAGCAGAATGGCTCTACAGTCAAGGTAAAGGAAGATCATATCGACCTGGGCAGCATGTTCAGCTAGTCCAGTACTTGGCTACTGTTTGTCCTCTTGTATCTACATACGGTCTCCAGACTGAAGAGGATGCCAAACTGGAAAAAATACTGAGTAAGCAAAGGTGAGAACTTCTTGTTTCTCTGTTGTCAGAGAATGAAACTGAGAACATAATTATATGTCTTATTATGTGTTAGATGTAATAAGATTTCCTTGTAAGTATTTCAAAGCAACAGGGAGGTCTGGAGATGGGAAGAGTGATGGAGGTACAAGATGTGTCCTGGAGGGGAATGAGAGGCAAGACAGCAGCAGCAGCAGGAGTGTTTTCCTGCTTGCTGAGGAAAAAAAAAAATATATGTACACACGTATATGACTTATAAGGCAGTTTGACCTTCTGACCTCTACCTCATGACCTTTGAATTTAGCTGGGCTGAAAAAACCCGTGTGTTTTCTCAGTTTGTAAAGGATGATTTTATATTTGTGGCAATGTTTGTTGATTTGTGTCGTGGTTTAACCCCAGCCAGCAACTAAGCACCATGCAGCCGCTCACTCTTAGGATTTTTGTCCCTTTGGTAACAAGGACACCCTTTCCTTGATTAAGTCAGTTTCAAATGTAAAAGACACTCCTTCTGTTCCTTAAATTCCTCTACACATACAAGCATAATGTAACCTGCAGTAGACACTTAAAATGTCCGCATACCTTCCTTGTATGTGGAAATATTTCAGTCTACAGTCAGAATTACATGTTGGATTTATTTTTTTTTTTGATACATGTACATGTAATGAAGAAAAAGGGAGAGGAGGAAGGGGAACAGGAGCAGTCTGTGCAATCCCCTACTTTGTCAGTAGTCCTGTTAGTGTCTTGTATGTGTAGGGATCTGCATAACTAGCCTCTTGTTTAGAATCGTTTGATCACTTGTTTCCTTTAAAGCAGTTGATAGTTTCTTTTAGATGTCTTCTGTACTAAAAAGTTTAAAAGAAATATAAAATCTGTTGGAACTCTGTGCTTAGGCTCCACCAGAGGCAGTTGATGCATCAAAACCAAAATGAAGGTCCACCTACATCTTCTGCTCCCAACAAAACACTGCCAGTTGCTTATGAACACAGCAGTCCATCCCAGCCGCCACAGATAGTTTTTGAAAGTGGTAAGAAGATAACCTGTGGAAATAATGATTTTTTTTTTTTTTTTTTTTTTGAACATAGATAACTTTGTGGAGAGAATTTCAGAGCAAGGCCCTGTTATTATTTTATTCTATTGACTTTTTGAGGTTTTCAACTGAAGTTATACTTTGTTTTCTAAAAATACATTCCATGCTTGTTCGTGTCTTGAAATGCTAGTAAGATTAGGTGAAAAACACAGTCCAATAAACTAAAGAGTTATTCCTTTGACTGTTCCATCTGATAAAAGTGTAACCTCTCCAGGGGGAGGCAGTTTGTGCAATTGTACCCGGTATTTGCCAAGTTTGTGGATGTTACTGTGATAAGTAGTTATTGTCTTTATTGTTATATAGAAATAATGCTTATCGTTACTAGCATTTTAGATTGTCTTACACACCCAGGTTCTAACTATGTAAAGCAACTTGTGAATTCCTATGAATTAAATGAAGATATGTTATTGAAATACTATGACACTTTTAAATATGGCTTTCTGCCTATCTAGAACCTATCATCCAGAAGAATTCCTGGGTTGGACCAAGTGCAAACGATGATCATTCCTATGCAGTAAAGAACACTTTTCTTCTTGAAAGAAGTTTTCACAAGGAGCTATACCTTGAAGATATACAGACAGATGAAGACAAACTAAACAGCAGCCTTTTATCCTCAGAGTCTACTTTCATGCCAGTTGCTTCAGGATTGTCTCCGGTGTCTCCTAATTCAGACCTGAAGCTACATGGAATCACTTTGGGCCTAGGAGACGATGATGATACAGTGATCGAATGTGAGAGAGCTGTTAATAGCGGAGAGACAACTATCAAGCAAGAAGCTTCATGTGTTACAAGAGAGCACTCGAACAGAGCAGCGGAAAGTGTGGAAACTCAAGAGAATATCAAAGAGAGTATGCTGTTGCCTTCTGCTGATCCAGTAACAGCTAGCTTGACTGCTAATACTAGCAACTGTTCAGCATCCTCTGAAGACCAAGTTCTGCATAATCATCCCAGCACCTCAGTGGGTGCTGAATCAGGAGTTACAACTCTTTGTCCTGACCAGATGACAGGAGAAAGTTCTGATTCCTTAGCTGTTGTTGATCAAGGTGCAGCTGAACTGCAAAGAATGGCTAAAGCAGCTACCAAGCTTCAAGCCTGCTGGAGAGGATTTTACACGAGGAACTACCATCCCCGAGCCAAGGAAGTGCGGTATGAAATTCGCTTAAACAGAATGCAGGAGCACATCATTTGCTTAACTGATGAAATAGAAAAGTAAGTTGAGGTCATGCTGTGTATTTTCAAATCTGAATGAATATAACCATAGTTCCAGGATATTTCAGAACAGGCATAAGTGGGTCTTGATATAACTACTCATAGTTGAACCCAGCATCGGTAATATAAAACTGTTATTACGGTAGAAGATCTCTTCCTGTAAGATAAACACATTTATGCACGTAGCTGTTCATACTCTCGAAGTGCCTGCTATGAGTGGGTTGGGTTAGAATGCATTTTTCTATTCCTCTATTTAGCAGGACTTGCATGTTTCACTGCATAACCAAAATGGAAATTGCGAAGTGTGATTTTTTTTTTTTCTTTTTTTTAACTTGTCTCCTAGCAATTACAGAATCTATAAATGAAGTGTCCATATTGAGAGTCATTCCTCTCGTACTGGTGAAAAGAAGAATTTTCTCTGCCTTGCATGATACAATTTTAAAATGCAATTCTGTGCTTTGTTCTGTTTTTTGGTTTTGGTTTTTTTATTCTATGAATCCATGTTTGGAGGAGATCATTATCAGAGTTCTGCAATCTGTAAGATATAAATTACGGATTTAGTTAATATCTTTCTGGATCAGCCTGGGAACTGGCGGTCTGACAGGCTCTGTTGCTTTACTATCACAACTGACAAAAGTTCTGTGAACCAGGTTGAGCCCTCAGTGAACTTCTAGAAACTCCCAATGCTTACACATCATACCTACATCAAAGTGATATCAGTTGGGGAGAGCATAATTTGAAATGAAGGAGCACTGTTTTGGTTTTTTTTTGTGTGCAGGAAAAATTGAAGAGCTCAGGTTCAGTTTACAAGAAGATACTTAAAGTATTGGCACGTCAATAAATGTGCGGCAGCAAAAGGAAGCAGAATTTTAATGTAACTCTGAAAGAGAAACTTGAAGTCAGCAGCTGGATATTGGTGGCAAGCCAGACTGCAGTAATGTCTTAATGTTAGGCTCTGTTGTATCTTTCAAGAGTGCTGTTATATAAGTAGACATTTTTATGTATTGTTGATCTTGTTATCCAAATGTTGCTTATTTAAGCTGCATAAATTTGCATGTGTGTTCTTGCAGACTAAGAAAAGAAAGAGAGGAAGATAAGATTCAGAGGCTTGTACAGGAGGAAGCTGTCAGATTTCTTTGGAACCAGGTAAATAGTTTTAGTCCTCTTATTTTTCTGCTTGCATATGGATTTCAAAGGCATTATTTCATACTGTAGATCCTGAAGAGATAGTCAATATGGTTAATTTTTTCTAGTGATGACTTGGGTATCTTATTAGAATCTAATTGCCATGTTGTTTGCTATACTGGTATTCTAGGGGAAAATAACATTCAGAAGTATTAGTGCAAGAACACTGGTTTTGTTACAGAAGGCTAAATTTATAGCCTGGTGTGAGAAGGAGGACAAAATGCAAGGAAAGCTAAATAAATGCAGCAGAAGTGTGAAGAATGATGTGACTGCTAGATGCCTAGGGCAAATGAAATGGTGTCAAGCTATGTTGCTTGTGAGCAGCTAATCTCTAAAGTAGAAAAGGTATTAATACATCTTCTAATAAGCTATTCTTCCAAAACCAAGACTGATTGTTTTCTTAAGCATGGGTTATTTCATAAAGGTTCCTCATCCTTTCTGTCTTTAAGAGCAGATTCCTTTTTCTTCAGGTACTTGAACTGGGAGGCTTGTGTGCTCTGTCAGTGTTGGGCATCTAGGTTTAAAACCCATTATTTAACAGTGGGAAGAACATATTTTCCCTAAAGGTATAGCAAACCTTTTGTTAGTTCACTTGGTCTTAAATTTTATACTACAGCTTTGTTGCTCATTGCAAGAAATACTCTAGAAATCAAAGTACTTTCTTTCTTGCATTTCATAATGAAATTCTCTCTATACTTTACAGGTTAAATCCCTTCAACAATGGCACCTTTCAGTAACACAGAATTTAGGTGCCACTTGGCAACCTGGGATCCCTTCAGCCGGTATTTTCTGTTCATCCGAACCATTTATTCGATCATCCACACTTGAGCAAGAAACCGCACCAGATGTTAGTTCTGCTTGTTTAGTTCCAGCTAGTGAAGTTCTTCAGGAAAAGTCTTTGTTGCAGTTCCCAGATTCTGGTTTTCATTCTTCTATGGCTGATCGGACTCATGTCAGTGACTTGTGTAGCTCTGAAAAGAGTTTAACAGAAGGAACTGAGAGCTCTCTTTCAGTGGAAACTGTCAAACAATGTGGCAATTCTGTTTCAGCCTATTCTTCAGATGTAGAGGATGGCCATGGGGAATGTGAGCAAAGTAAAGAGAGCTCTAGTAGTGAACAGGACAACAGACTAATACAACAGTATTTGAAATCTGTTCAGCAGCTGGAAGAGGCTGATGAAGGGACAGATTGCAATGAGGAAACAGAGGGTAGCTGGCCACAAATTGCTGTTTCACCAGAAAGCCAAGATTCTTCATCTGACACTGTCTTTGTAGATCTCCCTCAAGATACATCTTCCCCTGCCCGAGGTGAAATTGGTCAGACACCAGAAAGCTGCAAACTGAATTCGGGAATAGCAGAAGGGAAGCAAACAGACTGCGATTCTTCATTTCAGATGCTGCATGTTGGGATAGCTGTATAGTAGGCTCAGTTCCACAAAGGACTAGGGATTCCATTTCACTTTCCTTTCTCTTTCTTTTTCCCATTTATACAAAACTTATTTTTCATGTGTGCTGCTTCAGATTTTTACTCATGTTACCAATTTATGTTTTAATTAGTATTTTATTGATGTTGCTGAGGACTGACACTAACTGTGCTAACCTAAAATCAGCAAAGTTCTCAGTGACGGTCATTATGCACTTTATTTTCAAACATAAAACTGATATCTTAATAACTGGCTTCCATTAAATTAATTCTGAAGATTGGGGGTGTTGGGGGGGAGGTGTTTGCTGTAAATTCACATTGATGAATGTGTTAGTAAGTCTTTGCATTTTTTTCTAAAAAGCAGAATTGAGTTCTACTTTGCAAAGAGAAGGAAACAATATGGGAAGAAACAGCATCAGCATAGACAGTGTGTGCGTATGGATACAGCCTGATGAGAAAGGTGAAAGCAGTTGCCTTTCAGACTTCTTTTGGTCAGTGTTTGAAAGATGCATTCCATGAAATCAGTGTCCAAGTCAGTGACTTCTTTTTGTCATTTACTTGAAGCTGCTGGCTAGGAATTAGGTCATTTACATATGCACTGAAACAAGGACTTGTGAGACCTTAGGGAGCTTCAGACAAACTTTGATCTTTGTTTGCCCTGGGGTTGAATTTCCATGCTTTCTCAGGTAAGACTCAAAGTGGAACCAGTAGCAGCCTTCACTAAATAAGAATTTCAAAAGGGCATGTGATTTGGGAACATAGTATCCAAGATTGCACTGCTGGGTTACAGCACCAGGCTTGGTGGCATATGTTTTGCCTCCACAAGGATGCTAATGGCATTGTGGGATTTGGATCTGCATGGCTTTCAAGACATTAGTGCATTTGATAGATCACAACTACTTCTATCTACAGGTATAAATATTAAAAGCAAATGCCATGACTTAAAACTATTTCTTGACATCTCTTTTGGGCTTTTTGTTTGTTTTTTTTTGTTTTTTTTTTCTCTGTATGTCCAGTATTTGACATTCTAATTGGATGCGGATAAAAAGCTGTATTTCTTCCCTGTTGGTAAATGTGCTAAATTACCTGGGCTATGCTTTCCACTTAAACACTGGGCAAGCAATAGGGTCTGTATCTTGCCTAGCCATCGCTATGTTGTTTTTTAGTGGAAAAAGATCAGGTATGTTAGTGTACCACAGAAGTAGCAAGGGAAATCTGTTTTGCCATGCACAAATTTGTTTGTGGTAGACACTAGTAAAATAAAAGCTGACATTTTGACTTCTAGGGGTCAGTTCAGTTTGCTAATACTGCATTTTACAATGTGCACTGGAAAGCCAGTGTTTCAGTAGTTTGCTAATATTAACTTCTTAGATATAAAGACACATGTATATTATAATTATCTGAATGCACAGGTTAACTTCTGGTGCTATGGTGTTGTTAAAATCAGCTAGTGCTGTTTTAAAGTGACTCTTATGGCCATGTTACCATGCAAAATAATTTAATTTTTGTAAAAGCTTTGGTTCCTTATATACTTTAAGTTCTGAGCTGAAAGTTACCACTACTCAGGAGTTTGGCATGAGGCCAGTATCAGCTTGAGGCCTCAAAATAGCCTTTATTTAGAACATAAATTGTGTATTGGACTTGTACCAGCCATCTGCCCAGTGGTGAAGTTCACCTTGGAAGAATAAAGCTTGCCTCTGTATAGACTAGCCATCATCACTTTTTCCCCGCCCCCCAAAAAATATATTCTTGGGCACTAACTTCGCAAAAGAGCTATAACTGCAGTCAAGCTGACATTTAACTGTGCCTTGCATATGTGAGGGCATTTTAAAAAAACAACCGAACAACAACAAAAAAACCCAACAGCTGAGGTGGTAGATTCTTAATGTGCTATCTTTCTAACTCAGTCTAGTTACAGCACATTTGTAGCATAACCATATTCATAATTAGATCTTAAAGCATGAGCGTGCCTGGGTATTGAAAGTGGTACAGGTGCATTAATGTACCGCAACATCTAATTAACTGTGTGAGGAAGTGTGTACTCGATAATACCCTTGTCTTCTGAAGGTTCTCAACTTGGATTTCAATCTGCCATGCTTGGAGATCTCTGCAATTCATAGGATTTGGCTCTTTGACTGTCAATCTGTTACAAAAAAACAACTCGTATAAACCTTTAAAGAGACTTTCTTTGGGGTTTGAGAGAGAAATAATTTCTGTCTGTGAAACAGTTGTTGGACCTTACACTCTGGAGGCAGTGGTTAGGTGTAATAAAACACTAAGTTCTCTTTCGTGGCAGAGTGCTGTATTAGCATATGCAAAACCTGGGAGAAACTGGCCCACTGTCTGGATTAAAATGTTTCACTTACTGAGGACACTGAGGGACCATACATATTTTGTTATTTTGTATTATTGTTACTTTTGCTGCAGAATTAGGAAGAAGAGAAACAACTTTAATTTTGGAGGTGAGGGGGAAAACTTGGTGAAACTTAATTTTTCATCAAAACTCTAGATGTTTCTTGACATTTCTTCTGTTATTAGGGCTTACAAATACAAGATGTCGTATTTTAACTAATGCCTAGGTCAACTGCTGGCTTTTTTTAACTTGTAACCTGTATATCCAAAAGTGATTTTATGAAGGTACAGTAAAATGTGTACTGACATATAATCAGCTTTATTTTACTCATTTGGGGAAGCTGTGGAATACGAAAGATTTTTTTTTTTCCTGATGTTCTGAGAAGTATCTTGCATGTGTAGAAGATGAGTTGCCTAAATATATGGAAATCACAAAGAATGGTGAAGTTTTTGATTAGTTTTTACAGGGTTAAATGTAATTAGTTTGTATATACACAAAATATTTTCATCCTGACCATTAAAATACACACAGGGAAAGACATAATGGGGGTTAGAGTAGAAAAAAAATCAAACTGGATATATACTTAAAAATGGCTTCTTTCAGTCCATTTTGAGCTCTCAAAAAATCATGATATGGAGATATCATAGTTTAGTATATGGCTTAACATTTACTCTTCTTTGTCTGTGTAAGTTTTCTTATCTAGGTATGTAATACTATTTTACCTGGATAGGGATGCAGAGCTCCCTTTGGAGATGATTGAAGTTTTGTAAATGAATTGGGAGGCCTAACAGATGAAAATCCATGTCTGAAATTTTCCTGTATTAATATTGTATGTCTTTCAGCATTTTCCTTTTGCAAGGCTTCATATTCAATAGAAGAATATACTTTGTAGAAGGAAAGCTTGTCTGTTATACTTTGTCCTGGGCTCATCTTCCAGCCCTGACAGAAGAGATTCCTGATGGTTATTTGTCAGGCAATGCTGTCAGCTCTGCCGTGAGTACAGTTCAAGCGCTTCTTTAATTTGCTTCAGAAAAATCAGCTAAATATAGCTCAGACTAACTATTTAAACTGTGCCATGCAAGTACTTTTGTCCAAAATGAGGTGCTTGGCACATGCAAACCTTTTTAGCTAGTCTGTGGCAGAAATTACTCTTTTTGCCTGCTTTTCTGAAGGTAGAGACAAGGAGGAAGGTGGAAATGCATTTTTATGTGTTTACAGGTTTAGTCTGTGGTGGTAGCACCAGCTCTTTCATGATTGCTATTTCAGTTTTCTCCCAATTATTTTTATAGTTTACATATTTCAATCTTTCATGTAATCAAGAATGCATTTTTTTTCTATTGCGTGTGATATTTCATAGACACTGTTCCAGATGGTATTTGGAAAGGTAGAAGAATATCATGAAAGCAGGCCTGTTCACATTTTATATTTCAAGTCTTTTTTTAAGGTATTTGGATTGTATTGATTCCTTTCTGTAAGGTAGCTTCTTTACAAAAGAAAACCACAAGGTAATGCCTCACTAATGACAGTAAGTAGATTTCTATTTCTGCCTTCTTCCATGAACTAAGCTTAATGGTCACAACTCTGTCATTTGAGTGAATAGGAAATTTATGGAATGCTGCTGAATGAATGCAGCAACTATACTGTTTTGGGTTTTTTTTTTGTGGTGACTATTCCTGTGTGGTGCTATTTTGTAAACAAAGTATGTGTGGCAAGGATGGAATTTTTAAAAGGTACTAAACATTGGCCTAACTCTGCTTTCATTTCCTTAAAAGAAGCAGGGTCATGCTTAAGCTGAGTCCTTGTGAACTGGCTGTCTAAATTGGGATTTTATCATATTTACATCTCCAGAAGTGTTCTTATTCCGCGAAGCAAGAAGGCATTAAGACTGCAATTCTAAATTTTTTTTTCTCCTAAAACACAAATATCTTTCAGAAAATACTTGAGAAAGTCCTTGTTAAACTGAATTGCAGAAGCCTAGCAGTTTGTTTATAGTTAAGTTCCTTAACCAACCGTAGATTCTACTATTTGCATGCAGCAATTTAAATAAAGCACTTAGCAGCCAGTCTGTATATAAGAAAACAAGTTTTGGGGTTTTTTTTCTGAATAATGTTTGTATGTCATTGAGCTTGCAAATTGTTCCTAGTTTTTATGAATTTGTATATATTGTCTGAAGAACTCCAATCTTAATTTCTATTTGTAGCAGGTTGTTCGATGAACAAAAATGGAACATACATTCCTTTGAGACTACCTGGGTACCTTTTACTGGACTCAAAGTTACAGTGTGTCTCACACAGATACCCTTTTTCCTGAGAGGATAGAACTGTAGCATTTAGTGGAGGCTGACTGAATAACAATAATACATAAAAACTAGTCCGTTCCCCTGCTTTTAGCTAGTGGAAAAGAAGCTTTTTTTTCCTGTTGTATTAATATTTTTTTTTTCCCCTTGAGGACTGTGCCACCCAAATAAGTAAGCATCAAGTATTCATAAAGTCTTTCAAAAAGTCTTTTTTCTCATAGTTACAGGGTTTTTTTCCCAGTTTGGCTTTCTAGGCCAAGTTACTGAGAAACACTTGTTTTCCATATACCTGCCAAAAAGTTGGGACTTTCTATTTTTAAATGCTTTCTTTATGTCAGTAATGGAAAAAGCACAGGATCCTTTACTTGCAAAAGCATAAAACAGTATTTATGAGGAAAGGTGCTTTATCTTTTGGAAAGTGCCATGCCAAATTTTATTGTATAAGAGCTCTCAATAAGCAATTTCTTTTCTGGCTTCATTACATTTATAAGTATATCGGCCAAATTCACTTGTAGCATAATTCTGCTGAACTAAATTTTGTTAAGTCTTTCACAGTAGTATTCTACCTCTAAACTAGAATCTGAAAAAAGAACAATTAGGCATTGATTTGTCTTTCTACTTCTCGCCATTTTCTGTGAAGAATGGGGGGGGTTAAACTGGTACAGTTCATATATTTTCTATAAGTGTTTACATTTCTGGATTTATTGTTTCTTAAATATTTTGTTTGTACCTCTGAGTTTTGAATTTTAAATAAATGATTTGTATGTTTATTGAAAATGTTAATTTGTACTTGATCCTGACTCTTACAGCTAATAGTCATTGTCTTATGATTGGAGGACTCTTTTGGAGATAGAAAGTTTAGAAATACAAAACGGTGATGACAAGGTAAGCATTAGCATTCATGATTTGGTACACCTGAAGCATCTAATGGCCCACTGTTTCACTGTTGAAAACAGTAAGAGTGTGATAGGGTGCTTGAAATTTATACACCAATTGATTAGTAGAGGCCACTGGAATTGGTATTCATAATTTGCAGTCCTTTGTTTCTATCACTGGCCCTCTCTTTCATGTTCTTAATTGCCTACTGTGTTTAAATTAAAAGATGCAGCAATATTCTGTACAGAGCTTTCTAGAAAGACAATTAGGGCTATGGGCTTATCAAAAGAAATACAATTGCAAAGCGTGTTATTCCCTCTCCTATTGTTTTGGTTTGGTCAGACACCTGCTGTGTGCTTAAATAAATGAAGATTAATTAAACATCTTTCAGGCTTTACCAGACAAACAGTCCAGGAGCTCAGATATATGTGAAAGTCATGTTTTACTGCAGGAGAGTCATCCCAAAGGAAAAAAAAAAACCACAACCAAAACCAACCAACCAAACAAAACCCCCACTTTGATTTGCTTAACTTGCATTTCACACATGGAGGTTAGTGGGCATTTTTTTTTTAACTCTTTACTATGTGTTTCCACTTCCTTACACTGAAGAAATTAGCTGAGGTTTTTAAGTGAAACTACTCTTGTTCTTCTGTGAAGATATTTGAAAGAAAGAAATAAGCATAGCTAAAGTGACTTCACTTTAAGTCTTAAAAGACAATAGCATTGCTGTTTTCTCTTTGAGTGAAGACTTTAAAG